GTGTCCATTGCAAATCTTATCAACTGAACAAATTCTGCAATGTCATATCTCAGTTTTTTGTTTTTATATATTGGGTTATTGAATTCAACAATATTCATTTATCGTATCAAATTATTATTGTAATTTATTCATTAATTGATATCTTGATTTCATAATAATAAATTTGTTTCTGAAATACAGTCATTCATCTTTATATATCATTTTAATTGATAACAATATATAATTTATTTCTTTAAAAACTTATAACATTTCATTTATTTATTTATGATTTCTTTTACAAATTAGTATATTTGTGTGCCTTAGTTTCTCACATAAAACCCCGATTTGATGGTTCAGCCACCTTAGGTGTCGTCTGGTGCACGTGATGATCGTGTGCCGTGCACGCCATCCTATAGAAACAGCGTTATTATAAATTCTGTTTGAAGGGTTGTTAGCCACTAGATAAAGGACTCAAGGATTTCTAGAGCAATCTACTTGTCCCGTCCTCAAGACTCAAGAGGCCATTGAATTGGTGTTACAGACTCATCATCATTAGGAACTGTTTACATCAAGTTAACTCTCTGATAGCACCCCGGTCTGTCAGGTATCTGGTGGAAAATTTCAGTTTTACAAAGAAACTTCCTCAGTTTTTTTGGTTATTTTTTTTTCTCTGCAACACAATAGAAAATAGCTATTGGATGAAAAAGGGATATATTCTATTATTTTTTTTTTTTTTTTTTCAATTTTTTCAGTTTTGGTTTAATTTTATACAAGAAGAATATTGAAATTAAATTTTTTTTTTTATACATTTTTTATTTTTTTTTTTTTTTAATTTTTCTTTGAAACATATACTACTTAATTCATTAAAATACATCAAACCATATTGATGATTTCTCATCGATTCCAAGAAACAAAACTGACTGATATGTACACCCAGAAATGATATAAAAGGATTTTTATATAAAAATAACTGTATTTTTCATTTTTGTTTGTATAGACTATAACAGCTTGCTGTAAATTTTGGAAAATGCTCATGAAAAAAACATTGCATTTTGTCTAAGTTAAGCAAGAAACTCCAATCCTCGTCTCAAAGGAATGGGATATTTGATGTAAAAAAAAAAAACCTATAATAGGTCATACATATGTATTGAGTTGTATAGTATACAGTTTAACTGAGAGAGTATGGATAATTTTTTTCTAGAATTCTAAAGATTGTCTTTCTATTGCGTGCCTCTGTCAATTATGACACATAACTATGGTCCGCAGAAAAATGTCTGCCAGACTCTTGCACTTCATGGCACTAAAAACTCACAATTTGATATTTTTTCGATATGTTGGAATCTTTTTAAATGCTGTGTTATTTATGAGCTATGTCAATGATGGAAGTCCTCTTGAATTTAGATTTTTTGGGGGGAAATAGATAGTTTTTGATAGAAAAATGAGTTTTTTGTCTGTATTGGTAAATTATAGAATCCCAACTTTTCTATGATATAATATAAATCCTTAATAAATCTTGATATCGTTGTTGAGATTTCTGCTATCATTTAACATTAGCTATTGAAAATGTATGTATCATAACAATCAAATTCGAGAACAGTTAATCACACCGTACCTGTATAACAAGAGGACCAGGAAAAGATAAACGATAAATTACTAAATGACAGATTTTAATTATTCAACCATCTTTCTTTCTTTAAATCATGCTGTACAATGAATCTTGTGTCTTTGGTTATTCATTTGTTTGTTTGTTTGTTTGTTTAGAACTGAAAGTCACCTAAAAGGGAACTGACAAAAAATATGCAAATATATCAACCAAACTTTACACATTGCCATCTTTTTTTTACAAAAATGTTGTCATTAAGTTAACAATGCACCATCTATCAAAATGGAAATGTCTACCTTGTTAAGGGCCAGTATCACATCATAAAAATATTCCTTAGGAGTTATAGTTATCAAAAGGAAATGTCTTTCTTTTTTTTGATAAAGATAGTTTTTTTTTTCAAAAAAGAACATTGGGCCTTTATAGGCAGGTGACCTAGATAAGCAGATAACCTTTATAGGCAGGTCACCTAGATAAGCAGATAACCTTTATAGGCAGGTCACCTAGATAAGCAGATAACCTTTATAGGCAGGTCACCTAGATAAGCAGATAATCTTTATAGGCAGGTCACCTAGATAAGCAGATATCCTTTATAGGCATGTCACCTAGATAAGCATATAACCTTTATATGCAGGTCACCTAGATAAACAGATATCCTTTATAGGCAGGTCACCTAGATAAGCAGGTCACCTAGATAAGCAGATGACTCAGATAAATAGGTGACCTTTATAGGTAGGTGACCTAGATAAGCAGATCACCTTTTTCAACAGGTGACTTTCATTTATAAACATATTTCACCATTTCTATTTACCATAAATTAAATACCATATGCAAATTATGTTTATATCTTCTAAGTATCGGGTAATCCTGTTTATTATTGCCATTTTTCTCCCTTTTTTTCTCTGTGGTTTTTTTTTTTTTTTGTTCTTCTTGTTATCAAATATTACTGTAATTTTTGTGAAAAAGTGGGGTTTTGTTTGAGATTCCTGTTTGGAGTTGTTTCAGAGGAAATGAATAATCATATTATGATAATGTATTATTAACTGTCCATTATCACCTATAACACATATGCTATTTCTAATTGTATTTATCATGAATATTTGATACAATATTAGAGTTCATGTTATTTAAAACACTGACCCTACACACACAATACCTGATGGCTATGAATAAATATGTTCTAGGAAGATCAGTTTATGCTGTGTAGAGTACTATAGCACCAGAAAGCCTTATGAAATATGTAACACATATGCCAATTAAAGATAAGCAGATTTGTTGACAAACACTGGTTATTTACTGAAGCTCAGTTGGTTTACAAGATAATAGGGTTGTGATGTATCTGGGGCTTTTTATTCATACCTGTACCATACTACCGCTTTGTTCTGATAAGAAACCTGGTAGTAATTTACATTCATAGTGTTATGAATGTCACAGAAGGTAGGTAGAAATGGCTCTCATAGAAATCAAGGGAAAAGGAAACTGACTAAATGATATGTACATTTACATACAAACTATAGCTACCCTCAGATAAACTATGGGAGAAAGGGCAACAAAATACCACCTTATACAATAAATCTGAAGGGATGGGCTTATTACAGGACAAGGAAATGATAGCATTACTTTGTAATTCTATTAAACAATTTGTAAGGTTCATTAAATATGGGCCAACAGGTGTAGTGTTGGTTATTAGGAAAATATGGTATATAGATCTGAAGATGAAGTGTTGGTTATTAGGAAAATATGGTATATAGCCCTGAAGATGTAGTGTTGGTTATTAGGAAAATATGGTATATAGCCCTGAAGGTGTAGTGTTGGTTATTAGGAAAATATGGTATATAGCCCTGAAGGTGTAGTGTTGGTTATTAGGAAAATATGGTATATAGCCCTGAAGATGTAGTGTTGGTTATTAGGAAAATATGGTATATAGCCCTGAAGATGTAGTGTTGGTTATTAGGAAAAATATGGTATATAGCCCTGAAGATGTAGTGTTGGTTATTAGGAAAAATATGGTATATAGCCCTGAAGATGTAGTGTTGGTTATTAGGAAAATATGGTATATAGCCCTGAAGATGTAGTGTTGGTTATTAGGAAAATATGGTATATAGCCCTGAAGATGTAGTGTTGGTTATTAGGAAAAATATGGTATATAGCCTTGAAGTTGAAGTGTTGGTTATTAGGAAAAGTATGGTATATAGCCCTGAAGGTGTAGTGTTGGTTATTAGGAAAAGTATGGTATATAGCCCTGAAGGTGTAGCATAATTTAGGATGATGGTTATAAGCAGGTAAAACATTAATTAGGATGAGAATGGTAAAACAGGTTTAGTATTAATTACAATAAAAATGGTGTACATGTGTCGTTAGATGGGATAATTATAAAACAGGTGTAACAAAAATCTGATTACACAGATACATTATCAACTCCTAGGATGTTGTCAGTGAAACAAAAACTGCTACATTGGCCTCCAATATGGAAATGGACAATGTTGAGCTTCAGTTCCTCATCAGATTTGATATGGAGGATCGGAAAGATGTGAGGTGCGTAATCCTTCTGTGTTGGTGAAAGAGGAGTTTGCTCTATAATGTAAAGTTTTCTTGATAAACCTGTGTATAAGGACCACCGTTGATATTTTTTGAAAATGTACACAAGGATTAAGTGATTGAGATTTCTTTAAGCCTGTGTATAAAAGCACCTGGTGAACCTTCCATTGAATCTGTGTATAAGGAACACTTATTGTTTTTTCTATAATGTGTATAAGGACCACGGGTGAACCTATCTTTGAATCCATGTGTAAGGACCACATGTGACTCTGTCTATAAACCTGTGTATAAGGACCACTGGTAACTCTCTATAAACCTGTGCATAAGGACTACTAGTGACTCTGCCTAGGAACCTGTGTATAAGGACCACTGCTGACCCTTTCTATCAATATACATAAGATACATAAGCAGGAATTTATCAGATTTTGAGTATTATGACCTCAAATAAATCATACTCTTAATGTATACTTTAGGACCACTAGGGAACTTTCTAATGAACCTGTATTTACTGTCAAAGGAACAACTGATCATTTGTTTACATCTGTACATGGCCAACGGTTGAACTTTTCTTTAAACCTTTGTATAAGAACCTTTGTGTGGACTTTTGTTTTAACCTATAAGGATGATTAAGAAACCTGTTTATAAGGGCCACTGATTAACTTTTTTTGACCTGAGTATAAGGACCATTTGTGTAAACATCATCAGCAAACTAATGTATATATTTCTGTATAGTGAGCACATGCTTTTTGATCTTTTAAAAATGAGGAAACTTTCTTCAAGAGAGGCAACAGGCTTAAAGAGTTGTCAGGAAAGTAACACATTGAAAATCTTGAAGTGTATATTATTACATGTAATATCATATATTTTACGGTTTTTTTTTCAGTGTGAAAACTCCTGTAAAGGACCACCCCCCTAAAAGTAACCCCAGCAAACGACACAGGGAAAGACTGAATGGGGAACTTGACCATCTTGCCAGTTTATTGCCATTTGAGCAAAGTGTTATATCAAAACTTGACAAACTCTCTATTCTTCGTCTTGCTGTAAGCTATCTCAGGACCAAGAGCTATTTTCAAGGTAAGTCCTGATGTATTCATGTCACACTCACATTTACCTCATCAATGGTACCCTGTAATCTGTATATACAAGTTCTTTAATGTTACTCTCCTTCAATCTCTCCATCATTTTGGAGAAAACATAGCTTCTTCATTTGAGATGATGGCAATATACATTGTCACTTATTACAAAGAATTTTTATGTCAGTTTCACTATTTACGAGGCTGGAATATTGAATTCATGAAAATCAGATCAGTGAAGAAAACACAAAATCATTTGATCATTTCCATGAAAAAATAAATCCCTTCTGTATCAAGGTTTTGATATTAAAAAAAAGTGAAAATTTAAACTGTTAAAAAATGTTTTAAAATTTTTGTTAAGAGAGTGGTTTTGACAACGTAGGAAATTGAAGTCTGCTGAAAAGGTCTTGTTTGACGGAATAGCAATTGATATGATTTGTTGAAAACATCTTGTTTGACATACGTGATTGGAAAGTCTTTTTTAAAGGTCTAATATTTGACAAAATACCAATTTGGAGGTCTCTTGAAAAGGTCTTGTTTGACAAAATTGCAATTTGAAGGTTTTCTAAAAAGACTTGATTTGAACCCCAAAATAAGTCTTGTATGAGTTATTTGAAGGACAAAAGTGTAAGCTAAAAGCCTTCCTGAGACAAATTGAAAATATCGAAACTTAGACTAACATCTAAGAAAATGAGGTTTTGAATGATTTTTGGTAAAATCAAGCAAATGGGCAACAAAGGTCATTGAGTTAAAGGTTGTTTCATAAATATGTGATATTGTCAAGTGCTCAATAGGCCTTATACATGAAGATACCTTTGTAGGGCTCGACAGAAAATTTTATCTAGGTTTAGTAGAATGATATGCAATTGATTTATGTAGAAGGAAATTTGGCAAATGTAACAGATGTTTCTTTTGAGCAAATTAGTGAGAATTCCTGTTAATGGTTAAAGATAAGCCTTTCTTAGAATTTAAATGACATTTATAACTGTTATGGCAATGGATATTGTGAAGGTGGTAAGGTGGCGAGGGGAGGGGGGATGGGAATTATTGAGAATTAGAGAGAGAAAATCTGTAATGCGTTAAAGTGTTTGAAACCCTTTCCTGTATATAATAACAGTATCATGTATGCGTTGTATACGTATACAAATGTCGTTAAACACAATTTCACGCCGAAAAGTAGTCCTTATTTCCAGGCAAACGCATCTATAACTTAGATCAACATGGTTTTCCACGAGCCAGACTTAAGTTTGAATTTGCTCTAGACATGCAAAAGATATCTTCCTTGCAATGTTTACTTGCATTTCGTTTACGATTTAACCCTGTTGAATGATTTTCTTGTGAAGAGACAAAGTTCAATTAATGTGTTGCATGCACGTAAGACCTGTGCTGACACCCCCAGACATGCACACCATGCAGTGCGGAAGTTCCGTGTTTCCGTGACGAAGAATGTTAGAATATTGTCGAGTCTCCTGTCACTGACGAGGCCGTCAAAACATGTATATATATATATATATAGATTTCGTGTGCATCCTAACTTTAAAAAGAATTTTTTTTTCATCCTTGAAATCAAAACAAGATTAGATGTCATGTGATTGAATGACTGGTTTTCAGCATTGTTATCAGTAAAGAAATATATTGCACATTACAGACAACTTTTTATGTTAAGGAACAAAATAACACGTTTTTATTTCATACATTTTAATTTTTCATCTTCCTACGAAGGAATCAAATTGTGTATTGAACATAAATGTACATTTTACAAATTTTTGAAAAATTCCAAATAAAATTTTTACATGTATCTGTGATGGAGTCCGAAGTCCAGGATCTATATATGATAGATATACTTGTCCCCATTACTTCATTAGTTTAAATGTATGACGAAAGAAAGGTGGGTTAAAATTACACAGGAGTTAAAATTAGCAGGGAAGGGGACTTTTTTAAAAGAATATAAAAAAACTTGTGTGATAATGACAAAGTTTAAAGACATTGATTTATTTATAAACAGGCATTGTTTTCATATTCCATGTAGTACTGATGAATTTGTTGTTTTTTTTTTTTTTTAGATACAAATTTCCATATTTTTCAGCTTAGCAGTTCATGTTTCCCTGATAATGAGCGAAAACAATTTTTTTCTATAATTTTGTAAGATGTTTAAACAGCTGTTTAAAAACTGAATATCTGTCTTTCCTACCTTTTCTAAACAGTAGTATTGTATAAGGACCAGTTTCGACAATATATTTGAATTGCAAAATTAACTGGGAAAAATTCCTGGAATTAAAGTTTTCATAACTATTTTTTCATTATTATTATAATTTTTATTTTTGCCGTGCTTAATATATAGTATAATTATCAAAGATATGATGTTTTATAAATTTCAGGATTTATTTTCACTCGCACATTTCACTTAAAATCCAGTCTTTGATAAGACTGCACTGATGTCTTTATTTAGGTCACCGATGATCAAATGTTTCACTCCAGGAAGAAAACACAAATCAAACAGGAAAAGTTGTGCTATTTAAAAAAAAATGATTTATTGTTAATTTCTTTAAAAGATGAAATCACTGTCATCATAATAAATGAAAATATAATTCCCTGCTTAATTTTGAGAAAACATTCAATATCTTTCTGTGTGCTTCTTGCTCAGCAGTCCCAGTGACTGTCGCGGATTTGATCATTGTGGGTTATGATGAGTATTGTTTTGTGGAGGTACGGAGCCTGACGGAGCCAGTCTGGAGAGGGCTAGCCAAATTACCACTATAATTGCAGTAGTGGTGGGTCCTTGTGTAATTATACTCAATAATCATTAGCTTTCGTTGTCAGTCAAACACTGCTGTTTTAGTGTTCTTCCTAAAAAACGGACTGCAATATCAGCTCCTCTTATTTCTCACTCTTTAATTTCAATCAGAATTCTTTGTTTAAAATATAACATAAAATGCAAAATATTGTTCATTTGGAATTGATGAGCTTTATTGTTTCTGCAAGATATATTGGGTTTTTAAAGATATTAGGTGGCTGGCTTATAACAGGACAGAGATATCATGGGAGGGCTTATTGCAGGACAGGGATATCATGGGAGGGCTTATTACAGGACAGGGATATTATGGGAGGGATTACTACAGGACAGAGGTATCATAGGAGGGCTTATTACAGGACAGGGATATCATGGGAGGGCTTATTACGGGACAGAGGTATCATAGGAGGGCTTATTACAGGACAGGGATATTATGGGAGGGCTTAATACAGGACAGGGATATTATGGGAGGGATTACTACAGGACAGGGATATTATGGGAGGGCTTAATACGGGACAGGGATATCATGGGAGGGCTTAATACAGGACAGAGGTATCATAGGAGGGCTTATTACAGGACAGGGATATTATGGGAGGGATTATTACAGGACAGGGATATTATGGGAGGGCTTATAACAGGACAGGGATATCATGGGAGGGCTTATTACAGGACAGGGATATCATGGGAGGGCTTATTACAGGTCAGGGATATCATGGGAGGGACAATGAAAAAAAGCAATGGTATATAATTTCAATTTAGAACAGGAAAAGAAATAGGTGGGCTTATTACCAGTTATGGGCTTATTACCAAATTGGGTATGTGTTATATACAGTAGTGTAATAGTTAAGCAGTTACATATAGATATATATGTAAGTCAATTTGAGCCTGTTAAGTTTTGTAGATCATAGTGGCCGTAGCAGACAACACACAAATCAATATCTATGTCAAAATATACTTGTACACATGTAAACAATTCATACATACTTATGTTTTTGTTTACTTTAATCTTATTCATGTAAAATAAGTTTTCATATGCCAATGATGAGAAATGGATTGCTTGTCTGATTGAATAACAGAAAGATATTTCTAATTTTCATAACATAAATCATTTAATAAGGACAGAAAATTATTGAATTCTTTTTCAAGTATTTCCTATGTTTTTCAACATGACAAAACATTTTGTGTATAGAGGTGTATTGCTTAAATACAACGGCCAGTGGGTGGAGTGTTACACAGAGCTAGCGACGGCATTCTTTACTGTTATAATTAATGTTATTGAACAGTATGTGTAAATGGGGCACTCCAATCATTATGTATAATTATGCTAATTAAGTGTGCTACCCAAGGATGAAAATAAAATACATTCAGACAAGTTATCATTCATTCAATATGAAAAATTAAACACTTTTTGACAGCTATGTTTCTTGCAATTGGCTTGGAATTTTTCGGCAAAATATTTTGACTAATTTGTCATCATACCTTGAAAATAATTTCAATATTTTTAATAATCGTAATATCCAAGATATAAATATATATGATACATTATACACATAGAGTAAAAATAGGAGTTAGCCTTTTTTTAAATCGATAATTTGTATCAAATGATGGATTGATTTTTTTTTTATCTGGAATTCACTGATTCAAGTGTACATATACTAGGGCTTAGGGCTTGTGTAATCCAATTGCAGATTCACAGGTAAAACTCAAGTGAAAAAAAAAATCCAGGTAACAAAGCTGTCCAGATGGTAGAACTGCGTTGCATTAATTACCTTTTGATCTCAGCCATAATTTACCTGGTTTTGGAAGCCAGGGTCAGCAATATCATAGCTTAATTGGAGTCGATTATGGTCCGTTTTATTTCTTCAAATCCACAGATGGTGCCCAATCTAATCACACATTCTGGTGTTGTTAGTTGTGCTGCCAGAAACTGGTATAACATCAGCCTGTTCTATTTTGAATTATTTACAGATAATTTTGTTGGATTGATTTCAAGAATATCCAGTTATTTCTATAAAGAGGTCATTATTTAAAAAAAAATCAATTATGTATCTGTTATTGGAGTTTTGTTTTTATTGAAAATTTGAAATATGAATTAAATTTTACATGCATCAATCTTTACCATTTTTTATTGATAATATTCACTCTGGAAACAAACGTTCTGTAACATCACAAATTAAAAACATGCTTCATATCTTGTGCATGATTTAGTT